ACCGGTGTGTTGGAGAGCCAAGCCACAACATTTACAAACTGAGTACGACGTTTCGCCAGTAATTACAACTAGCTTCATCAGGCGACAGCCAGATTTGTGGAGAAGTCCACCTGTTTCATTCCTCATATAGAGGCGTAGATGTGGTGACCACGCAGCTGCGCTCTTGCACAATGTGGGGGGGGGGGGGGGGGGGGATTACTGAGGCAACGCACATTATGCATGTGCATTATGCGAGCCCTTTCAACTTGTCCTTCCTTCGTAGGCATGCCCTTTGTAGGCATGGATTTTAATAATCTATTATTGGAGGATTGGCTTCCACGCAGCACTAAGACGGTAGCTATCCGAACGGTTAAAGTTATACTGATTTCTTTCAATTTCGAGAGATTCTCTAATTAACACGATAGACAGGAAAGACAAGTTAAAGGGCTCGCATAATGCACATGCATAATATACGTTTAAATGAGTGCGCAGATGGCTGAACAGGCCAATCCGAGCCTGGAATTCTCTGTGGCAACACTGGACAGGTCAGGGAGGATGTAGAGTTCTGAGGTGCAGCCACAAGTCCTTGCTTGGTAGATTTGCGCTGCTGCCTCTTCAAGATAGCACAGGAGCTTCTCCTGCTAGCACAGAGGACTGCACCGTCCTGTACTTTTCTTCTCCAGGCAGGTCGGTCCTGAGCTAAGGGTTCCCAGCTTTTCAGGTCGAATCCAAAGCTTTTCAAGGAAGCTTTCAGGGTGTCCTTGTAACGCGTTTTGGGGCCATCTTGCGCTTGCTTGCCATTCTTCAGCTCGCCAAAGAAGACTTGTATTGGCAGTCTCGCGCAGGACATTCTGGTCACGTGGCCAGTCCATCTAAGCTGTTCCTTCGCAAGCAAGTTGTGGATGCTGGGGATATTGGCCTTGCCGAGGACTTCCGTGTCAGGGATTCTGTCTTGCCACTTGATCCTCAGCAGTTTCCTCAGACAGTTCAAGTGGAGATGATTCAATTTCTTGGCATGGCGCTGGTAGACTGTCCAGGCTTCGCACCCATACAGAAGAGTTGGTAAGACAACAGCCTGGTAGACCTTCAGTTTTGTCTCCTGCTTGATGCCAGTCTTTTCCCATACCGAATCACATAGACGTCCAATGGCTGCACTGCCCTTGCCAATCCTGATGTTAACTTCATCATCTATGTACACAGCACGAGACAGAGTACTACCAAGGTAAGTAAACTTGTCAACGGCTGAAAGCTTTTGCCCATTCACAATGATGGTGGGCTCAGTGTAGGGTTTTCCAGGAGCAGGTTGGTACAGGACTTCAGTCTTCTTTGTGCTGATTGTTAGGCCGAAGTTGTTGCAAGCTGAGGAGAAATGGTCCATACTGTCCTGTAGATCTTTATTTGAGCCAGCAGCCAGAGCACATTCATCAGAAAATAAAAGTTCTCGAACAGTGACTTCCTCCACTCTAGTTTTGGCTTGCATCCTCCGCAGATTGAATAGCCCACCGTCAAAACGGTAGATGAAGCTAATCCCAGTGTTGTGGTTCTGGAATGAGTCTTGCAGCATGGCAGAAAACACCATGCTGAAGAGGGTTGGCGCTAAAACGCAGCCTTGCTTCACCCCGTTTGTAATTGGGAACGGATCAGAGAATTATTGCTGGTCTCTGATGCTAGCCATCATGCCATCGTGAGTTTGCGCACGATGCCAATGAATTTGTCTGGACACCCATACTTGCCCGTTATCTTCCATAGGCCCTTCCGGCTGACTGTGTCAGATGTTTTTGTTAGATCAACGAAAGCCATATATAGATCAGCATTTTGTTCTTGGCATTTCTCCTGTAACTTCTGAGCAGTAAATACCATGTGAGTGGTTCCACAGTCTTTTCTGAAACCACACTGACTCTCAGATCGCAGACCCTAGTCTAGGTGGACAATTAGGTGGTTCAGATGGATTCTTGCCAAGATTTTGCCAGCGATTGATAGTATGGAGATGCCTCGCAGGCCTGCCGATTGCCTTTCCTCTTATAGAGATGGATTATAGAGGCATCCTTGAACTCCTGGGGAACGGCTTCTTATTTCCACAGAGACTGGAAGAGGTCAGTCAGTTTCTCGGCTAGGTGAGGCCCTCCAACCTTGTAGATTTCCGCTGGAATGGCATCGGACCCTGGAGCTTTGCCTGATGAGAGGAGGCTTATGGCTTTGCTGGTTTCCTCAATGGATGGTAGAACAGCAAGGGACTGGTTTATTTCAACTTGAGGCAGTCTCGCAATTGGCTCCTCATTTATGCATGATGGCCGGTTGAGGACTGCGCTGAAGTGTTCAGCCCACCTTTCAAGTATTTCGTCCTTTTCTGTGAGGAGTGTTGTTCCATATGCATTCAGGAGAGGTGAAGTTCCTGAGTGTTGTGGACCATAGACCTGCTTGAGTGCATCATAGAGGCACTTGGTGTTGTTACTGTCAGCGTAGAACTGAATCTCTTCAGCTTTTGCGCACAGCAAGGTGGCTTGCATGACTGAGTCTCCGCTGGACAACCCTGCGAATGTTGAGGAAGGCAGTTTTCTTTAAGCTTGAGCAGCTGTCATTCAGATAGGCTTTATGCAGGCGATGTTTTTCGTCAAGGAGTGCTTGGATTTCTGCATCGTTCGCATCACACCAATCTTGATGTGTACGTATGGGAACACCACGTGAGTCAAGGGCTGTAGAATGCAGCACGGCCTTGACAGCAGTCCAGTCTAGCCTCAGCGTCTGTGTGCTCGAAGCTTAGAGACTCCAGGTGATGGTCTAGAGCGTCAACAAAGGCCAGTCTGGTGTGTTCCTGTTGTAGGCGAGTGATGGTAAGACGCTTGACACGTCTTTTTCCTTGTGGGCGTCTGGGAGGCTTAATCCGGATGTTAAGTTGGGAGATGATGAGACGATGGTCAGTCCAACATTCAGCACCACGCATTGCCTTGGTTACCCTGACGTCGTGCCGGTCGCTCCTCCTCATGATGACGTAGTCAATCAACTGCATACTACAAGCCAGATAAAGGCAGCAGTGCATCTGCCTTGAACCCGGGAGTGGCATCTGTTGGTGACCTTGTGCCAGGTGTCGACATACCACCTTCTTATGGCGGTGGACAAGTCTTTTGAAAGGATGGCCACTGATCATTTTCGAAAAGTAGTAATTTATATACAGCACTCAACCTTAGAGGGATGATTAGCTGAGCCAACCCATAACTACAATTTGAACACTCAACATCCAGCTGTGAGTCAAGAATTATGACAAGGCAATTCGCAATTGTATTTCATAACAATGGCCAAACACCCAATAAAAAATACCAGCAATTTAAAGTGGTGCTTACAACTATGGAAAGGTGTTCCTGTGTAGGCAGGTGGCAAAGGTGGCATTGACTCGTTAAGGCCATTTGATTTCTTAAAACCACTCGTGGTAACACCACCAAATTGATTCGCATCGGCATTAATAACATGTCACACGAGTCTCCCACGCTTGCCCAAGCATTACGAATTCATAGCAATCCATCCCATTGTGATTTCAAGCATTTTGAACGTCATCGGCCTAAAAAGGACATGTCCTGATTACAGTATATAAAAGCATGCAAGTGGAATGACCGCTGTGCATTTGAGATAATCTGGTGCAGTGGTTTGGTTGAGATTTTGTATCTGCACCGTGGTGCTGACACATAATTATACTCGTGTGGTCATAATATAAACAATGTCCGTGATAATGACGAATATATTTTGCACATCAATACAAAACGCCAGCTGATTTACCCTAGGCAATGAAGCACTCCAAAGGCAATAATGAAATACGTAGATTCTCCACCCTTTTGTTGTTCACATACCACCCATTGCTCGTAGGTTTCACTCACAAGTAAATACATATTCTTAGTTGTTTCGGTCGTCGTCCGTTTGAGTTATGGTCGAAACGTCGTGAGAATTTTTTTATTGTTTTATATATATATTTTATTATTTTGTTGTTTCCCTTCAACGTGACTTTACCGAAAAAACTAAGAATATGAATTACTGCAGTCACGAAAGCTTTAAATCAAAAGTAAATACATGTTTAGTCTGATCTGGTTGGAGAAGTCCCATTTGCCAACAATAACCTCACACTTGAACATCCTCATTTCTTCTGTATTTCATGAAGAAACCTGAATAAGTATTCACTTGATTTTTTGAAATTCTGACTTTGCTTTTTATAAGTGTATTTTGATACATTGTATTAACTACTGAAATAAAATGTCATGATGTAATTGTTAGATTTGAATTTTTTTTTAATTCATCCTACATAACATATGCAATTTTGTAGATACCTTAAAAATAAAGTTTGATTGTTGTGAGATATTCTGGGCAATGAAAGCTAATTTTTCAACATTATGATTCAAATTATAAAGTAATTCTTATGTTTATCATTGGCACTAATTGTATGTATGTTGAACTTCTTTTGCACTGTACGTAGTCAATCGTGCTAATTGGATGTATTGGGGGCAAGGTGGGGGTTGGAGTTAAAATATTATAATAATTAACATTTGTAAGGCGTGATTCATTCAGGGATATCAGTGTGCCATGGCATTAAACCTCTGCAGTCCGGTAAATGCAACTTCAATAGTTCATTTGCATCATGACAATGAGGATCAGGCACTGCCCTTAAAATCTCAAAGAGAGCTTGGCAGCAATAACAATCTTTATCATGCCAAAATAATAAATTAGTGTAGGTTCAAAAGTGTGTCTTCATCGCTCTCTCTTTACAAATTGCATCTCTATTTTAATTCCTGTAAACAGTGGTGTGTAATTCGTATGATCGATTTAATGATGTGTACAGCCTCTTGGCAATCCACTGCTAGATTAAAGAAGGCCATGTCCAACATGGGACTATGCTTCGTCACTGTGGTCGCTGTGGGTTATTCAGGGGAGGGTCCAGGAGCAGTTCAGGTATCACTCGACACCAATGTTAGCCATGCCCGGGAACAGGCCTGGATTATGACATGGTCAACAAAAATGTAAACCTATTTTCAAATTATTACCTTATTCCATTCTTCTACTACGGCAGTGGTTTCTTAAATCTGTTTTACAAGAGGACGATGAGGTCTGTAAGACAGATATAACAACGAAATGATAACGAGACTCAAATGAAGATGATTTTGGATAATTTGCTACAGATTGCCAAACAAACGTCATGGAATTGCAACTGCATTTGACTTGCTTCCCATGCTAAATGTTACAGATGAGACCATCCCTTGACAGTTTGGCTAGAAAATATAAAGTGTGTTATTCATCATCACGGACACTGTTGTGGCTATGCATGATGCTGCATTGCCTGTTAATTTTACACGGGTTCATTTATCTGATATAATAGTATCACCATCAGGTTAAATTGCAGCAAGGGTGAACAATTACAAAGAATACATGTATGCCTACACTTAGACTCTAGTGCTTGAAGTTAATGAATTATACATGAGGATAGTATATGATTACATTAAATGACTCAGCCACAACAACATGAGAGTAGAGATGTTGTTTTTAGTTATAAACTATAGAGACTGTTGGTAGCCAAATACTATGATGCATATAATAGACGTTTATGCTGTTGGTATATCTTGCTGGTTCATGCTTACATTCAATTAAAAGTTAAATCTGCTGACGTCATTACTTCAGAACGTTACTCGTACCAAGAGGAGGTCATACTGTCGCACCCACATTTGTATGGAGCATTCGAATTTGTTCAATAACGCACATAGAACGTGAAGTGCATTTATTCCAAAGTGTATATTTGTTATTCATAATACAGTTTTATACACGCAAAATTCACATGCCCAATGTTCATTTTGTTTGCAGTAAGCATAAATAAACATACTAATTTCTCAACTTTATCGCATGAGAACAATTTATAAAGACGTACCCAGGGCACATTGCAGTGCCGCTGTCATGCTTGTACATTTATTATTAATCAACTATAGACCATTTTCATTATTTACCAAACGGTGAAAATCTATGTAATATTAATAGCTCATTGCACGGCACGCAAACGCAATCAGCAATTTGACTAATTAAATTAACTCAAGCAATGTAGAGATAGCTTATACTGATAAATTTACCCACCGATGGATCTTGGGTGCTGAGCACCCTGCCTTCCTCGCGACTGCCGCTCTCATCCACGCGCACCGCATGCACGGAGCAAGCACGCGTCCAACCCCCAACTCGACGGGCAGCCAGCCAGCCAGCCCTTCCTTATAAAACTCACTCCCGCCCCTTCGACCCATGACTACCCTGCCCGGTCCTTCCACGCTTGCCCCACACGCAGAGATATATAACTCCCCATGCTCTCACCTCTCCGGATTCGCCCTTATCCACAGGAGCACAATAGCGAATATTTTAATGAGCTGGAATTTAGTGTCATTTATAATGACATTGAAATTATACTCGTGAATTACCGATGTTGCTCTTTTGCACGGATTCGAGATGAGCGTGGTTTTTTGAGAGAGACGCTGCTTTGTGGTTCATTTGATGATCCACTGGACATCTGTGAAAGAAAGAGCTTCATAGCTCATCGGATTCCTCCAGTTTAAATACAGGTTCTGATTATGATCACTTGTGTATTGTTTTTATTTCACGCGGACAACTTATTTTTCTCATAATAAACGTTTTTGGGTTAGATCGTGTTATTTATAAATGTGCCGTAAACCTCCACCACCCAACACGTCCAAACAGTAAAAAATGTGTCACGTTTACAAAGGACAAATAGTTCACTACTTTAGCCCACCGGTGTGTTGAAGAGTGAATCCACAACATTTACAGTTTGAATACGACGTTTCGCTGGTAATTACATCCAGCTTCATCGGGCAATTCACCAGAATGGTAAAGCCCTCCACTTGCTCCCAGTCTTAAATAGAGCAGCAGGGTGACGTCATCCTTTAACCCAATCTGGTGCAGTGATTTGAGGCAGAGAGGGGGAGGTTATTGTAATTATACAATAGATTGGTAAGCATTAAATTGTTATTTATTAGTATTTGTTTCCCCTGTAAGGAACTGTAATATGTATTGTACTGGTAGGAAACGTAGTGGACTGGAAGCCCAACCGGGATTAATTCACAGGAGGCAGGGGATTAATTGTGTATGTCTGTGGATGTCTGTCCACGTGTATCCGGACACCCGGATAAAATGGGAGGGGTGGGGCTGGGTGGAGAGGGGAGGGTGGGGAGGGCCTGGGTGGGGAGGGTGGGGCTGGGTGGGGGATGGGAGGGGTGGGGCTGGGTGGGGTGGGGCTGGGTGGGGAGGGGCTGGTCACCCCGTGGTGCCCTTATAAAACTCAACGTTTATCCTACTCACGCCGGCTTGTGCCCGCCCTCAGAGTCGGGCATATTTGCGGAATACACCACGTGGTGCCGCCGTTGACCCTGGCCACTGACCGAGCAACCAACGTTCGTAGCAGCCCCCTCCGCAGGAATAATAATACGCTTCCAGGCCGCACTAAGCTTGTAGATGTCAGAGCGATTAAAGTTATTTGTATTTCTCTCAATTTCAATGGATTCTCTAATTAGTCTTGGCCAGTAATAATTAGTTTTACACAACACTTGAACGTTATCAAAATAAATTGAGTGTCCATGTTGACAAGCATGTTCTGCCACTGCCGACAGTTGTGTTTATTTTTCTCCTGTGTCACTTTTTATTGAACAGAACTCCTCGCGTTCGACACCCCGTAACTCCGTCGTGATTATCCAGCTTGTGCTGCTCGCCTGCTTAGCTCCGCTCGCTCCGCTCCCCCTCTCTCTCTCAGCCTCTCTACTGCTAGCCTGCTCTCTCACTCTCTCACTCTCCTAGCCTCTCCACTACTAGCCTGTTCTCTCTCTCACTCTCACAGCCTCTCCACTGCTAGCCTGTTCTCTCTCTTTTTTTTACGATCAGAGGAAACAAGAAGATGCTCGGTGTAGTCGGCACTTTGCTTCGTTCATCATTTCGTTTTTTTATGGTTTGCTTTATGTAACCCTCCCCCCCCCCCCTTTTTAAATGAAAGATTTAACAAAAGATTTCTCGCTCTGCTCTCCTTACCCCTTCACTCTCTCTCTACCCCCCTCTCTGCCCTTCCCCCCTCTCTACCCCCTCTCTTCCTACTCCATGTCGCTCTCACTCTCGCTCACTCTCTCTCGCTCTCTTTTTTATAACTACGACAAGTGCTGCATCTGCACGCAGCCCTCCTCACAGTCAAACGGCCTCCGATGGGTAGCTTATATTTGCATGCAGAGCTCTCCGTCATCTGCCACTGAGCACATGGCCACCTCCAGCGCCCACTGCTCCTTGAAGGCAGCCTCTCCACTGCTAGTCTGTTCTCTCTCACTCTCCTAGCCTCTCCACTACTAGCCTGTTCTCTCTCACACTCTCCTAGCCTCTCCACTGCTAGCCTGTTCTCTCTCTCATAGCCTCTCCACTGCTAGCCTGTTCTCTCTCACACTCTCCTAGCCTCTCCACTGCTAGCCTGTTCTCTCTCTCCTAGTCTCTCCACTGCTAGCCTGTTCTCACACTCTCCTAGCCTCTCCACTGCTAGCCTGTTCTCTCTCTCTCATAGCCTCTCCACTGCTAGCCTGTTCTCTCTCACACTCTCCTAGCCTCTCCACTGCTAGCCTGTTCTCTCTCTCATAGCCTCTCCACTGCTAGCCTGTTCTCTCTCACACTCTCCTAGCCTCTCCACTGCTAGCCTGTTCTCTCTCTCATAGCCTCTCCACTGCTAGCCTGTTCTCTCTCACACTCTCCTAGCCTCTCCACTGCTAGCCTTCAGGTGATTGCCTGAAGACGATTGCTGTGTTGCGATCAAAACGTCGTGATATTGTTATTATTTGGATTTTTTTTCTAACTACGTGGTTTTACCGAAAGACCCAAGGAATATGAATACCTATTTTAGCTGGACTTAAGCCATCACACCCAATGCAAACACTGATCACAATGCAGCACAATACAAAGCAAGTTGCATTTTAGTATGTATCCTCTAAATGTAACCTCATCTCAAGACGCTGTTGACAGGCAGTGAACAGCTGTCTCATCAAAGTTCATGAATGCTTCAACACTCTTTTTGCTAAAAAAAAAAATCAATATGTTGCATTTGTATATACGTAGTACAGGCTATTTTTGTTGTTAAATTATATGCTTTATTCACGACTATGTATCATTACTTTAGTGCACTGCCTTGTCATCCTTTATTATCTTCTTGGTTCTTTCGGTAAAGTCACGTAGAATGGAAATAAAATAATAAAAATAAAATAAAATAAAATTCTCACGACGTTTCGGCTACAACACAAGTAGCCTTCTTCAGGAGAAGGAACAGAACTGTCGGGAAGACAGCGCTCCAATGAACACTGCTAAGCTTGGCAGCGTATTTTAAGCTGGGTGGGAGGAGCAGAGCACCTTGACAAAGGAGTTTACATATCAACAGAAGAATTTAGCATTGAAGTAGCTGTGTTAATGTGTTGGATTAGCAGGGTGTTAAAGTCATAAATTAGCATGTAACTGGGAGATTAGCATGATGTTAGTGTGAGGGATTAGCATGTAACTGGTCGCGGAAGTAGCTATGTTAAAGTCAGAGTTTACATATCAACAGAGGCATTTAGTATATTGACGCTAAAGAACTGCAACAACCCAACTATTATACAATAAGCCGATGTGAAAGAACTAAGTATAAACTACATCAATATAATTAATGTACTCAATATATTCTTCAATAAGTTGAGCTATTAACATAAAGTAACTGGGTATACACTACACTATATAATGAATACCATATAGTAAACTGATTAAAAAAACTTAAATATAAACTACATCAATGTTATCAATAAACTCAATATACTCTCCAATCAGCTGAGCTACTAACAATAAGTCGTTATACATTACAATTCTATGTCGAAAAAAGTGGCGGTTTCTTTTTTCTTTTCAACGTTATCACCACGGAAAGCGACGAGCTTTGTTCAGACGGACGAGTCCATCTATGCTCGGAACGGAGGAGGGGGGAGAGAGAGAAACAGCCACAATGCGCTGCTCTGTCCTGTGTTGCGTTACAACTATGCTATAAACTAGACTACTATACATTACAATGTTATACCTTCCAATCTAAACTACATTGTATAATATCGTATACACAGCCCAATGTAAGCTCTAACATTATGCATTATATTGATAGGTCTCCAACTAAACTTTTTTCTACATTACACAACTATACACCGCAATATACATTGCCATAGACAAACCCCACCCTTTAATTATACAATGCGTTACTATACACTACCCTATACTTTAGACTATAAAATATTAGACTTGTAATATTACACTGTGTATTATTCTACCAACCCTACTGTATACCACACTGCTGTATATTCACTATACAATTACGATACTATATATTGCCTTATGAATTATGTTAAACATTACACTGTTATTTATTATTATACAACATGCTATAAACCATACCATTGACCGTCGTGTGAAAGGCATTAAGAGGCAGCGCCAGCGAATGGACTGCGGTCTGAAAGTCACCGTAAAATACAATAAATCAAGAACCGAAATGGTTTATAACGTCTTTCCAATGGTTACTAAGCCAGAATCCATCTTCTCGGTTGAAATTGTCTCTGTGTTTGTATATGTGGATGGCCTCATGAACGAATCTCTCATGGTAGCCGGATGACTTGCAGAGAACCTCCGTCTTGGAGAAGTCAATGTCATGTGAGCCCACTGAATTATAACAGTGATCTGCCACGGCTGAGGTGTTCGTCCTACCGTGTTTCAAGTCTGCTTTATGTTCACGGATGCGGTCCGAGATATGTCGTTTGGTTTCTCCAATGTAGCTGCTACCACAGAGGCAACTTAGTTTGTAGATGCCCGGGTACTGTATGTCTGGAACCAGATTTTTTACAGACAGAACCAGATCACGGATTTTATGTACTGTGTTGAATCGGACCTGGATCTTGTGTTTATTCAGGATTGTGGAGATATTTTTTGTGACCCCCACAATGTAGGGTAAGGTGATGGTTTTGAATGGCTCCTCAAGAGGATCCTTCTTCATGGTTGGAGTGATGGCTTTGCGGATTGTGTAGTCAGAGTAACCATTAGCTTTGAGAGCTTGGTGACGTGCTTGAGTTCACTGGCAATGTGTTCCTGGTCGGAAATGCATTGGGCTCTATGGTATAGAGTCTTGATGAAGGAATTCTTCTGGGATGGATGGTGGTGGGAATCCGGTTTTAAGTAAGTATCCGTATGAGTAGCTTTCCTGTAGACAGAGTGGCTTATTGAACCATCAGGTCTCTTTTTATTTAAGACATCCAAAAAGGGTTGCTTGCCATCTTTTCGACTTCCATGGTAAATCTGATGGCTGGGTGTATGGAATTGATGTGGTCAAGGAATTGGTCTAGAACAGGCCGGCCATGTGGCCAGATGACAAAAGTGTCATCCACGTACCTCTTCCATAAGGTCGGACGTAGTGTGGCAGTCTGGATGGCGTCAGTCTCAGATTTCTCCATGAAAACGTTGGCTACAACCGGAGATAGGGGGGAGCCCATTGGGGTGCCCTCAGTTTGTTT